GTGGTAACTAGTAAAATAAAGAAGGGCTTTAGAGCACACTTTTAAATGCAGTGTCAATTTAGGACTGGAGAATTCGCTGCCGTAAATATAAGATGCGCGACAAACTAAATTGCAGTTAAATAGAAAATTAGCTACACTGTACAGAGCGTACAGTGCCAATTTTTACAAGTGGGTAATTAGTAAATATTTTTCTTTGACAAAATTCTCACTTTTTCATGCTTTCTTGTCCTTATCAGCGAGATTTCGATTAATCTCGATTAAATTTGTCTTTACAAATATCAATATGTCCTACGCTACGCCCCAAAAATAGTCCGTGTTGAATAATAAAAATAATAGTAATAAACTGATCCGCCATAACAACAAGAACCGCCGCTTTTTTTATTAGAGATGAGAAGTCGGCGTGGAGATCGTAAAAGTTGGCGACAACGAACAAGGAGTTATGTGTAGCTTAAGTATTTACAAAAAATTTCATCGAATAACAAGAGAGTTCGAATTTACTACGAGAATAAAAAAACAGAAACTGAATGACTTATTGCTCAAGAAACAAAATACTTTGAATGGCACTGGTGAAAAGGGGGAGACATGCAGTTTCTCTTATTGTTCACAAAATAATGCATTTCACACATTGAACATCTATACCACAAATTCCACCTGTCCTGTTAATAGATAATAAGCCAATTAAAAATTCCAAATCCTGCAAGCAAGACTATTCCGGAAGCATGAATGTTGGCAAAAGCTTTCCACTTGGAGAAAAACCAATCGCGTTTTTTGAGGGAAGCGTGACCACGGAAAGCGGTATTTACATCTCCTTCTATAAAGCTAGTGATTGCCGTCGGTTAAAAACCAGATAAAAGTGAGATTAGCCATACATTCGCTCACCCAACACCCACTTTCTCAAACATCCAATCCGGCCAAACACTCCCGAGTTCACAATTCCATGCCTGCAATGCGCGTAACCAATAGGTGATGGTTTGAAGGAACAACAATAATTAGCCCTCGTTAATTGCAAATTTCCTCACTCAATTATGAGAAATAGAGTAACTGCATACTTTTCCACTACCTCCAATTCCATCATTGCAGTATTAGGGAAAGTTATACACTAAAAGGAATTGAGGACTTAAAATTAAAGTGATTGCATTTCAGGGGTATGTGATAGACTTACCTCCACGTAGTGCACCCTGGGCAACGTATACTCATACGGCAAAAAGTCTATTAAGCGGCAGTTGACTTCTCACTTCAAGCTACAATCACTTTAACTGGCAGTTGACTTCTGACTTCAAACCACCATGACCTCACTAAACTGGCAGTTGACTTCTGACTTCAAATTGCCATCACCCCAAAACCGGCAGTTGACTTCTGACTTCAAACTACCATGACCCCCTGGGTAACGTATACTCATACGGCAAAATCTATTTGTGCGCCCTGGGCAACGTATACTCATATGGCAAAAAAGTCTATTACCTACGCCCTGGGCAACGTATACTCATACGGCAAAAAGTCTATTAAGCGGCAGTTGACTTCTCACTTCAAGCTACAATCACCCCACTGTATGTCATATTCGAATTCTCCCACAGTACTCACCTCACCTGTTTTCTACCTTTTCTACCTTCGTCTTTGAAACACTCTTCTGTTCCCCCTCCCCCCACACTCGACTTTTTACACTTTGATGCTCCTTCCCCTCTGTGAAGCCTGAAGTCAACTAAAGGGCGAATGATAACCATCAAAACGCCTGCCATTTGATATAAATGAATAAAAACTTCAGATACGGTTTGGCATAAGATCGAAAAAATAAGAACGTTTCATTTAGGAGTAATTCACATCAACCTATGGAATATAGTAAAATAAAAGTAAGAACACGCAAATCATTTGTCTACCAAGCGAATTTCGACAGAAAATGTGGTGAATGTGGTCATTACAGAAGTACACACCCGAATAGTTACCGAGGATCACTTAAAATAATATCAAAAGCAAAAAGCATGTGGTAAAATGGCGATTTTGAAGATATGAACCCGTTCATTCCTTCACAGCGGTGGCACTCGATATAGCTTCAAAAAACCAACTCAGAAAATAAAGCTCTTGACGAAAAGTCCTGCCTTTTTTAATGATATAGACCGATCAAATCTACTGAACAATTACCCAAGTTAGAGCTACAAGTGCGGTGTAGTAAATTTGAAAATAAGTCAAATCCCACTGAAGAAAGAATTTAATGTAATTATACAAAATTAATCCCATAATTACGCTTAAATTTAAATCAGGTGGGGGAGTGAGATTTAAATTTTTCTTGAATCTAAATGCCACGAGCTCAACTCCAACTTGAGACCAGAGTTCGAAGCCATCCACGAAGGTGAAAGTGCCGGTGCATTGCAATGATAAAACTACTGAGAAACTTGTGTCTAAATCTTCTAGCTTCATAACACCTATCTTTTCCTCTTAATCAATTAATTAAGCATCCATTAAGATTAAAATAAAACGCACCTAGCTGAAACGGTAGTAGTAAATGAAACACAATCCTTCTGTAAGGAGAATGGCGAGCTGCCAGTAATATCCTCCCAGATAGCCTGAGCAGTTCCTCCCGTAATTGAGCACAGGAGTCTCACAGTCGACAGATCCGATGTCTGATTCTTTCCTCCTCCCTGATTTTCTCCTTTGCCACCGACTTTGGGAAGTGGAATGAAGACCATAATAGGACGATGGAACTTGCGTCTACGCGGTTCTATGGTAACAATAGGGGAGACAGCGATTCGCGGTGAGCCCAGACATTCTTCAACAAGTCGGGGATCAACAGTTTGAACCTGCAGACCCACGCGGATCTTCTTTTGCAAAGCGCCTCTTGGGAAGGAGACCTTGACCTGTGGGTCGACACTGGAGGTAAGTATGCAACCCTCTGGACCCACAAGAACGAGGTCCTGGCGACTGCGAGTTACCAGAGCGAAGTACTGTGGAATAGTGTTGGTGAGAATGCGGTGAACACGACGCTTTTTCAACTCAGTTGCTGGAATTGCATCGGCTGCAAATAAAAGGGTAATAAATTAATTAACCAATAGGCCCGGGAAATAGAACATACACATACATGCC